GCTTCGGTGGGAAGTAGTCTGCCATAAGATTTTGTCGGCAATAATTTCTGTTAAATTTTATACTTGCCACTTTGGTAATAGAGTGAGGTTGCAGAATACTTGCTAACTTACCCAGGGACCAGTTATCACCATCCCAACAATCAGCCACTTTCAATTCACTATTGTAGATATTGGTGATGGCGGAGAGCCAATCTTTGGGACACCAATTGTCAAGCCAAAAATTGATTTCCCCATTTCCCAGCTCCCAACTGTAGTTGGTTTCATCAATTTGTCTGATTTTCAGCATTTTCACCCAAATTCTAGAATCACCAAATTTCCTTAGGACCAGTGTGGGGTGCTGATCTTTGCAATACTTACCCCACATGAATTTTGCCCACAGTGAATTTTGTGTCCTAAACTTAATCCAGAGTTTACAGAAATTGACTTGAAGGAGTTGATCAAGGTCCTTAAAGCCAATTCCCTCAACAATTTGAGGTTTAGCTGCTTTCCTCCAGGAAGCCCAATGCATTTGCTGTCTTTGACCAGACCACATGAATTTATTAAACAGTCTCTCCAGCCGTATTTGAGTGCTTTTCTTTATAGTAGTCATCTGCAATATATAAGCTGGGAAGGCAGTGATTATGCTCTTTAACAAGGTAATTCTTCCCCCATTAGACAAGAAAGTCTGTGTCCACCTATTGAGAAGGTTAGATATTTTATTCAGTACCTCGTCAAACTGAGTTTGTTTGGTTCTGCCAGTGATAAGAAGCACGCCAAGGTACTTAATAGGGAGTTGAGTAGTTGTGAAACCAGTATAATCAGATGCCCAAAGTTTGTGAGTGGAGGATACATGTTTATAGAATACCATCTGACACTTTGCTGGATTGAATGCCATACCTGAAAGAGCTTGGAACTTTTGTAAGATTTGGAAGACTTTTCTGATAACTTTTTTGATAGCATTTTTGCTGGCTTTGGAGAATACCATTATGTCATCAGCATATAGTAAATGAGTAATAGCAAGTTGGATCTATGGTGGTATCTGTTTTAACTATGATTCAGCAAGGCTTCATCAAGCATTCTGGACAAATAATCAATTGCAAGTACAAAGATGGTGGGTGATAGTGGATCCCCTTGCCTTAAACCTCTTGTAGCTATGTATATACCTCAAAGATGTATGTATATATACATATATATATATA